CTGGGGCTGGGCGCTCCTCGGGATCCGCTGGTCCCCCCGCCCCGGGTGGCTTCGGTGGAGGGGGAGGTGGGGCGTTGCACCTCGGTTTCAGACAAGATCTCTAGGCTTAAAAGGCGTAGACGGAGCTTTTTACATCTGCTTCTGCAGCGCGTGTTTGGGGAGAAAGTGTGGAGTTGAGCAGCTGGCCCTCGATCGCCGGAAGAAATTAAATGACACAGAGTGTAATTAATTGACAAGAAACTAACAACCCAGACGGGAACTGGTAATCCCATGAATCTGATTATCATAAAAACACGACCAAATAATCCCAGGAAAGCTGTAATAGTGAAAATCTCCCTGCCTCCCCGCTCCCAGCCTCCTTTTATGTGAAGATAACAGCAGCAAAAACCGTCCGTGACATCTTTCCTTCCCTGTCTCTGAAAGGGAAAACCAGAAAGAACCCATGCCTTCGAATCGGTCAGAGGTGTGAGACGTCACCGTTTTTCTGTGCAAATGCATTTGAACCTTGTTAACGCGTACTCAAGAGTGTGCGAGCACCCAGGTACGGGACTGTTTTCGTCCGGGGGTGTTTTCCCGCAAAGTATGGCGCGTGTCAGCTTTGATGAGGGTGGTTTTGCTTAATTCTTCCTGACACTCTGTGTATCGCTGGCAAATGTTCCTCAGTGCTGTGTAGTAATGTGACTTCTGACTACGGTAACGTTTGTAATCTTTGTTCACAACCGCAAAATGGGGAGACGCTGCCGCAGGCGTGTGAGCGGAGGGGGTTTGGCTGCGTGGTCCCCAAAGCCTCCATTGGCAGATGCTGAGCCCGGGCGAGAGTGGCTGGAAAGCCCCCAGCCCTGCGGACGGAGATGGATGGCTCCTCGGAGCCACCGCGCAAAGCTAAGCCCGGCGTTTCGTGTCAGCTGAAAACGCGTTGCTGCTGGTTTCACTGTTTTCCCCTTCTTTCTCCTGCTCCAGCCCGGCCGTGCAGGCTGTGACGCCCACCAGGGTTGTGTCCCTCCCTTTGCCCCATCCGAGGAGACCCGCTGTCCCCCTCTCGGTAACGCTGTTCTAACTCTTCACCAGAATGTATTTCCTCTTCAAAATACTTAGGGTAGGTTTGGCGGCTGGTGATTTTCTGGATTGCGTAGGCCTTTTTTTTGTTGTTTTATTTTTTGCAGGAAAAGTGTAGCCCGTGCTGAGAACAGCCGGGCTCGCTTTCCTGCCCTGCCTCCACTCTCTGACTGCGTGGCCTTGGGCAAGTCACTGAACCTCTCTGTGCCTCAGTTCTCCCATCTGCAAAATGGGGATAAGTCATATCTGAGCACTTTGGACAAGCACTTGGTCGCCTACAGACTGCAAGTGCTACGTAACTGCTGAGTGCTAATACCAAGCGATCCCTACCTTTGAAATATTTAGAGAGATATTTGTTCCTCTGAAGTGGTAAAATCAACCGCTGCATCCAGGTTTGCACACTTCTTCCTCCGGGGTTCAAGTGCTAAACCCTCCAGCCTGCCTGGGAATAAAATACCGAGCGTTTCATGTGGATATTCTTGCTTTGAGCGGATTCAGGCTGTAGAAGAAGCGTCAGGAGAATCGCAGAGCCTGTAGGCATGTTTTTTGCCCCAGGCTCTCCATTTGCATACGAAACTTTTGTTTATTCCCAGGTAGGATTGCCAAGAGATTCTCCGCAATCTCGCCTTTAACTCTGCTTTGCCTTGGTTATTGCTCTTGCTGCTGGTCGAACCTCGAAGGGCTTAGGTGTTTGGAGAAAGACGCGAGCTCTCAGCCGGGCGGTTGGGGTGCGGCGCTCCGGCCACGCCACGCTCCCCGGGGGGGTTAGGTCGGAGCCTGTTTACTGCTCTGCCTGGGAACACCCGGTTGAGGCGGTGCTTCCCCTCCCAGCAGGATGCTCGCAAACCTGCAACCACGAAAAGCAGAGCGCCGCGTCTTTTCCAGTCTCGAAGCCCTGACTTAGGTTTGAAACCACTCGACGATGAATCCTCTCAATCGATCATGAGATGTGTCTGAGCTTTAACAGCTGCGTGTAGGCGGTCTGCAGACCGCGAGCAGGTTTGTCTCGGGGAGGAGGGAGGGTCTCCTAGAAAAGCCCCTCTCTTTCCAGCCTGCACCAGGGCTTTTTCCTGAGTACGTGACGAGTGACCTGATGTAACACCTTCGACTCTCTGAGTGAGAATTCAACTTTGCTAACAGTATGACTGCAAATTTCTTTTATTTGAGTGTGTTTTAGGGATTTCCCTAGAATGTGCTCGGATCGGAATTGATTTAATGCCATTCGCCCGCACGGCAGCGGGGAAAACTCTGCCTGGCTAACTTCAGCTCGCCGGTAACCTCAGCAATGCGGCGC